AGTACCAAACAGTGTTGACCAGCGCGACACTCGACGACGTGATGCGCCGCAAAGCCTTTGCGCTTGTGCAAAATCCGCTCTTCGTGCGCGTAAAGGTCTCACTCGAGGAGTTCAAGCGCATTGCTCAGCACTTCCTCAAGACATCCGCCGACGCACGTTCTTGGAAGCTGCTCGAACTGCTGCGGCAGTTGAAAGACCGAGCGATCGTGTTTACCAACCGCAAAACCACTGCCACGTCAGTGCACAACTTTCTGGCCGATCAGCGCGTGCCAGTGCTGAACATCCACAGTGGCAAAGACCAGGCTGCGCGCGAAGCAGCGCTCGCCAAGTTTTCGCGCAGCAGCGGCTACGTGCTGCTCGCGACGGACGTCGTTGGCCGTGGCATCGACATCAAGAATCTGCAACACGTGGTCAACTACGAGGTGCCGCTGTCTGTGGAAAACTATCTGCACCGCATGGGGCGCACCGGCCGGGCCGGGCAGTCGGGAAACATCTATACACTATTCGACGAACAGGAAGACAAATTAATGCTGGAAAAAATTAACCAGTATTTTGCAGAACAAGGCTTATCGGTAAAAGTGCCCTTGTCGCATTCGCTCACAGACGTCGTCGATTGAGCGCACATTGCCGAACCTCGCTGAGCCGATCAACGCCATGAGCGAACACGCGCGGCGACTGGGCCAGTTGTACGTCCAGGCGCAGCTGGGCGCCAGTCTCGAGCACTTCCTGGGCTTGACCGACGGCGGTGGCGACGGCGACGGCGACGGCGTAGCCGCGACGTCTGTCGCGCTGCGCGGCAGACTGCTTGCGACAGACGTAGCCGCGAACTTGGAGACGCTGCGCTGCTTCGCGGAGCAACATGGCGCTGCGCTAGCCGTAGACTCCGCGCGCGTGCGAGCCGCGGCTACGCACGACGCGCCGCTGGACGTTTCGCGAGCCTTCGCCGCGCTGCAGCCATTGCTAAACGTCGTGCAAGCTAGTCTGCCCTCCGCAGAAGCGGGAGCCGCGGCAACGCAGCTGGGCGCGAAGATTTTGGAACTGCAACGTGCAGTGGAAGCGCGACTCGCGCTGCAAACCGAGTGTCTGAGCGCGTACGAGGCGGCCATCCAACAGCTGAGTGCGTTGGCGCGCAAACAGCCTGCGCTGCACTCGAATCCGTCTCTCACATAAAACAATTAGCCGCAAAATTAGATCCAAAAAAAGAATTTGCTTCACGGGAAAAGTTTCTAGCGCCGTTGCCATGCCCAAGTCCGCGAAAAGTCTACCCTCCGTTCCAGTGAGCTACCAAGGTCCGCTAGTGAGAACCTATTCAGTCACAAAGCTTACCGTCGAGCCTGCGGGCAGCAGCTTTTTCCACAAATTCGAGGCGAAGCAGGACGAGTCCGCGCCAGGCAAGGCGACTGACGCTGAGCGAGCCGCTTCGTCGCCCGAATCCGAAGTCGACGCCGAGAACTACAACCGTACGAAGATCGAGCGCAAAGCGTTCAACGTGAGCGCAAATTTGCGCATGGCGCTCGAGCAAATGCTCGACTGCTATCGGTTGTGCTGCGTGAGCCCGGACTGCACTGAAGAGAAGCTGAAAAGCAACTTCAAAAAGCTTGTAGTCATTTTTCACCCGGATAAGGCGAACTGTGTCAGCGCGCACGAAGAAGACCCGGAGCTGGCGAGCGCGCTGCCCGAACTGAGTAGCATGTCTGAGCGGCAGAAGACGGAGCACTTCTCGAATGTGCGGCTAGCCTACGAAGTGCTGATGAACCGCGAAGACCGTATCAAGTACGACAGTGTGCAGCAGCTGGACAACTACTTACCGTTCGACGTGGACGCTGCTGAGTTCTTTTCCGTCGTGCCGCGGCTGTTCGCGCGTGAGGCGCACTGGTGCGTCAACAAGCCCGTGCCGCAGTTTGGCGACGAGAGCACGCCCGTCGAAGAGGTGCGCAAATTCTACGCCTATTGGTACCAGTACAAGTCGTGGCGCGATTTTTCGTGCGCAGCAATGCACCTGATGGACAACGACGCGCCGCGCGAAGAGCGCAAGTGGTCGATTCGCGACGCGCAAAAGGTCTCGAACCGGCTCGCGAAGCTCGAGCGCGACCGCATCATCAAGTTTTTGAATCTGTGCGAGTCGCACGACCAGCGACTGCACCCGAACGGAAAAAAGGTCGCCCAGAGCAAAGCCGCAACGGCCTCTGGCGCTGCGAAAGTGGTCAAAAAGGTGCCGCTGGAGACCGTGCGACAAAAAGTCGAGCGGCGCGTGCGCCTGCAGGCCGCGGCGCGCGAGGCGCGCGGCCAGGTGAAAACGCTGTTTAAAAAATACCTCGGAACGTCGCCGGAGCAGGCCGCGAACACGGCGCTGCTCTCGTCGAAGCTGAACACGTGGCTCGCCGACGCGTCCGCGGCAGACGTTTTGCGGCTGCACGGCAACTTGAATTACGAACTGCAACTCGGCATGCAGCCGGCGGAGCTGCAGGCGCACCGGCTCCGCAAGATCTTCGAGGCCGAGCTGTTGAAGGCGTAGTTTAAGCAACTTTCTGCTTTAGTGCTCGCGAGCACAGCTTGCCGCACAGCTGCCGAAAGGCCAGTGCCGTCGAGGCTAGCGAGACGTCGCAGCTCTTGCGCAGCAGCGCGTTCGCGCTGACCAACTCGCTGAGTACTTTGTGCACGGCCGCCATGTACCGCTCGCAAGTCACACACTTTGCATCGCGCATCAATATACGATGGTGTGAATAGTGTCCAGCTGTTCGACCGATCGTTGGGAAATTAGAGAGCTCATCGGCTAGCTAGTGCTATAGAGCAAACGCCGATCGAGCTATTTTTCGTGTTGTCATAAACTTTTAGTACATCAATCAATAGGTCGGGAGCCGCTTCCTTCAGGAAGAATCTGTAGTTGAGAAGCCCGCCGCCCACGCCGAAGTAAAACAGTTTCTGCGCCAGCACGGCGCGCGCGCCGTGCTGCGCAAGCGCTGCGCGGAAGATCGCGGTGAGTTCCGGAAAGTTTTCGCTGCGGTACAGCGTTTCGGAAGAGATGAGCAGGTTTAACTGCAGCATGGGCGCAGCGGAGCTGCGCGCTGCGGCGAGCTGCTGCGCGAGCGCGGTCCAGTCGCAGCACAGAAAGCGCACGTCGAGCAGCGGGTCGTCACGCAGCTCGGCTGCGTCGAGCAAGCTGAGTGGGTAATAGTCCAGGTCCTGCAACACGCAGATCGTCGAGAGGTTGTGCGCGCGGCGCAGCCGCGCGAGTTGCAACGCGAGCAACGGTCTGCCGCAGCCGAGGTCGAGCATCACCACTGAGTCGCGCTCCAGTTGCAACAGCTGCGGATTTTCCGCGAACCAGTCGAACAGCAAGTCCGAAGCCTCCCAGGTGGTCTGGTTGCCCTCGTAGCCGGCCGCGCCGACGACAGCGCTCGCCGGCGAGGTGAACGCGCCGTACGTTTCGGGCGCCACTGCGACGCCGCGCACAAGGTCGTTCCACGATTTGTAGACGGCGAACATTTCGCCGCGAAGAGGCGCCGCGGCTCCAGGCAGTCACGAAATTATTCGAGCTAATTCTGCAATTTACAGAATCGGAAATGAGCGCAATTCCTGCGGAGATAGCCGCGTTTTGCTGCCACCGCATCTCGCGAAAACTCACGGAGCTGCTTGGGGCGCGCCAAGACGTCGAAGAGCTTTCGCGCTTCGTCTGGCAAACGGTGATTCAGCCGCAGCCCAGCCAGGAAGTCGTGACTGCGGCGCTGCGCGAGTACTTAGGCGCGCACACCGACGCGCTGATTGCGTGGATTGTCGAGGACCTGACGCCGTACGTGTGCCAGACGAAGCCCGTGCAGGAGAACTGGCGCGCCGCGCTCGTTGACAGCGCGGAGTGTGTCAGCGCGCCCGCGGCGACTGCGCCCGCGGCGACTGCGCCCGCTGGCGGCGAGGCGGCGGGCGCGAGGAGCGCGCCGGACGTAGCGG